AAGAGAGAGAAAGAGAGAGAAAGAGAGAGAGAGATAGAGAGAAAGAGAGAGAGAGAGAGAGAAAGAGAGAGAAAGAGAGAGAAAGAGAGAGAGAGATAGAGAGAAAGAGAGAGAGAGAGAGAGAAAGAGAGAGAGAGAGAAAGAGAGAGAGAGAGAGATCCATACGATTTGTTATTTTATCCGAAAAAAAAAAACTGTCTGAACGTTTCGGTTGTATACCCTTATTAAGGTGCTTATAGCCCATTGATGTATGAATTACTAGTTTGACTGAGGACCTCAAAATTTGATAAACTTGAAAGTAACACAGAACAGTTCACTTCCAATGAATTCTGCAAATTATTTCATTAGTACGTGCATATTAATAAGCTCGGATTCAGATTAGCTAAAAACACAATATATTGAAAACTGATAAAAGTACCCAACTATCTAGTGATAGTCTGGAGGGAAGGCAAATAGTCAACACCACTCTTGGGCCACTCTTTTACCAACGAAAAGAGGGATTGATCATCACATAATAACGCCCTCACGGATGAAAGAGGAAGCATGTCTGGTGGGACGGGATTTGGACTTGGAACCCACAACTTTAATACAAATACACCTGTTATGCAGAGGTTAACGGTATAGGTCAAAAATTACAATTTTTTTAGGATATTCAGGCATAGTTACTCAAGGGCTATCTGCGCTAGCCGTCCCTAATTTTGAGCCGATAGAGGAGAGGGAAGGAAGCTAATAAAGTGCACCTACCGTCAACTTTGGGGCTACTTTTGTCTAACAGCATAGTGGGATATGATCATCACTCTTATAATGCACGCATGGCCCCAAAGTTCGGGGTGTTGTGAAGTACATTGAAGGAACACGTGTTTTGTTTTACACGTTTTTTTTTCTGTGAAAGTGACCGTAATAAGAAGATGAAATATATTTAAGGAACGGTGAAAATTTTAAATGTTTTTCAAGCCATGGTGTTAGATCCAAAAACGTATCACCGTGTAAGTACACTACATCTCTGAAGAAAAACTATCGTCCGTCTACACGGTGAGAACCTTTGTTTGAAGCGGACAAATAAATAAACCTTCAAAAACGTCCTCTTCCTTACTGTTGCTTTTGTTTACAAAAAGTAACTCCAAATTTAAAGAAACTATTTTAATTTTGATGTTGTTAGTTGATCTTTTTGAAATTCACTTCTGCGTTCATGAGCATTGTTTTACATTGTTGGCACAACATATGGATTTAGGATCAGCCTTAATCTCTTAAGCTGGCCGAACGTCTGGAGATATAATTAGCATTACGACCGAAAGTGACGTTAACAGCGAGGACGCCCAAATGATGAATCAATGCATTTCTAATCATTATAGGTTAACTTTTCTATAATATTAAACACTTCCGGTTAGTTAGTTACAGAATTAGTCTGATTAGTTTATGGTTGTTTTTTAGTTCTGTTTATTTATAATTAAGGTACCTTTAATCGGAAGTTATATTAATAATTCATATTTTATCCAATAGTGCTAATATCTTTATTTCTTTCTGGTCAAGTAAAAATATACAATAGATCTAATACCTTCTTTTCTTTCTGGTCGTGTAAAAATATACAATAGTGCTAATACCTTCATTTCTTTCTGGTGGTGTAAAAATATACAATAGAGCTAATACCTTCTTTTCTTTCTGGTCGTGTAAAAATATACAATAGGGCTAATACCTTCTTTTCTTTTTGGTCCTGTAAAAATATACAATAGTGCTAATACCTTCATTTCTTTCCGGTCGTGTAAAAATATACAATAGTGCTAATATCTTCATTGCTTTCTGGTCGTGTAAAAATATACAATAGTGCTAATATCTTTATTTCTTTCTGGTCGTGTAAAAATATACAATAGTGCTAATATCTTCATTTCTTTCTGGTCGTGTAAAAATATACAATAGTGCTAATACCTTCTTTTTTTTCTGGTGAAGAACTTCGACTTTTGGCTGTTTCAGTAAGGTTTTGTTTTCTGGTTCTCTTTTCTATATAGGAGTTTTTGGGTAATGTCACAGAAGTTTTAATACTTTCTGCCCGAGATATCTACAAAATATTTGCTTGTCTGTTACTTAAAAGTTGAGGTAGTAAAACATTTTTTCTTACTGGAGATAAAGGGTAATTCAGATCTCTCATAAGTAGGCATTGTATCATATACTGAAGTTCATAAAATCATTCAATAAATGGAAAGATCGCTACAAATCGTTGTGTCTGATCAAAATTAATCAACCAACTTCAATGACAGGAATGACTCAATATTTGTTTAGTGTAAGTGTTATCAAGAATGGGTCCCGGCATGGCCAGGTGATTAAGGCACTCGACTCGCAATCTGAGGGTCGCGAGTTCGAATCCCCGTCACACCAAACATGCTCGCTCTTTCAGCCGTGGGGGCGTTATAATGTGACGGTCAATCCCACTATTCGTTGGTAAAAGAGTAGCCCAAGAGTTGGCTGTGTGCGGTGATGACTAGCTGCCTTCCCTCTAGTCTTACACTGTTAAATTAGGGACGTCTAGCGCAGATAGCCCTCGTGTAGCTTTGCGCGAAATTCAAAAAAGAAAACAAGAATCTGGAAAAAAAGGTCAAAGGTTAAAACTGACAAGTACTCTTTAGCTGAATCATTTTCCCACAGAAAACTGAGCCAACAATAAAAAAATTAACTGGAAAAAGAAAAAAAATCAAAAAATAAGAGCAAATTCAGGTTTAGTATTTTACATTTGTTTGGAAAGAAATTTCGATATTTCAATTTTGTTTAGAACATCTCTACCGTAAGATGTTACTCTAGAATAATATTATTTCTAAAGAAATCTCAAGAATAAGAAAATTATGTAAACCGACTAGGTTTGGTGGTTAACAAAAGAATAAATCATTCGTGTTTTATTTTTTTCTTTCTTACTACTTCTCGACTCTGATCACTGAAATGGAACTTATAATAAGAGCAGATTTCAGTTCTATACATTCGTTTTTAAAAAAAAGGGTTTTGTTTCCCAAACGATTTTTTCTTTCTTAATGTGATCATTCTAGACTTGCGAGATCGAGTATTTCCAGGGCTTTATCTACGTGTTGTCTGTATTGCTAATCATGATAAATGTGTGGAAAGTTTCTAATCCTGTAGACGAGATAAAAGAGAGACGGATTACGATTAGAATTACTGACAACTTTCTAAATAAACGATGTTGACACCTTTTCTTCCCTCCACCGAGGAAGAACGGTAACTCCACGAGTTGACGACGTTATCTACTTCTATTTGACAAAATGTAATGAATTCAAAGATTGTTATTTTTTAACATGCTTCAATCTGTCAAAATAAACTGAAGAAAAAAAAAGACTCATTACCTCTGTGGAAATGAAAGATGAAAAAAAATGGAGAAATGCGAGTAGTTGGAAGCTTAGGTTTATATTTATTGTGGTATAACCTGATTTACCAGAACACTTGATTTTAGACATCCATACATAAAGATATAGCTTTACACCTATTGTGGTATAACCGGAATTACCAGAACACTTGACATTAGACATCCATACATAAAGATATAGGTTTACATCTATTGTGGTATAACCGGAATTACCAGGTATCTTTATGTATGGATGTCTAAAATCAAGTGTTTAGGTTTACATCTATTGTGGTATAACCGGAATTACCAGAACACTTGATTTTAGACATCCATATATAAAGACATAGGTCTACACCTATTGTGATATAGCCTGAATGAACAGAACACTTGAATATTATTATTATTGGAAGTTTAAAACTGTTATATTCAAGTCAGGCTTTAGAATGATAGGATAAAAATTAGCAAAATTTATAAGGAAAAGTGTTGTTTGTTTGAAGTTAAGCAGCACAAAGATACACAATGTATCTGTGCTCTGCCCACCACGGGTATCGAAACCTGGTTTCTAACGTTGTACGTCCGCAGACATGCCGCTGTGCCACTGGGGGGCCGATCATACCTATAGACTTTTAAAAGTATTTATTTTTGGATTATTGGTCAGACAGAGTCTTTAAGGGTATGTTACTATAGAAAACTTCTAATCTACCTATTTACTTTAAAATACTCACAAACGAAAGCCTAGAAACCTTCTGAGCTAAAGGTTTTGTTTGTAATCTCACATCCCAGTAATACATGTGTAAACCTAGAAACCTTCTGGGTTAGAGGTTTCGTTTGTAATCTCACATCCCAGTAATTCAC